GACATCTTTGGAGGAAATGCTCTTTAAGAACCCTTACATGTATAAAATCTTTGTTTTTTAAAAAAATAGTATCATACATTTATGTTGATGTTTAGAATTCTCAAGATGTTTTTTGCTTTCTCATAAAGGGTGAAATACTTTTCCTATGTTAGCAGTTCTCAGGTCAGAAAGGGGAAGATGTGAAATCTCATTACTTCCCTAATCATCAGCTCTTTCTGAGTGTGTTAAAGAATAAAGAATATGTTCACGAATTCCCAAAGCACAAATGTGCTTCCGAGGAACTCTGAGGCACTCCATTCAAAAGACACAGATCTCTGCCAGGGTGAACGGTTGCTAAGCCGGGCTCACTTTGGAAAACTTTGACCATCTGTCTGTCCTTGGAATCCTATTCTCTAAGCTGAATCCTTGTTTCACTTCTGGGGTGATAATTACTTCTGATTTTCACAATGAAGCTGACACAAGTTAGTATTGTATTTCTGATTAAACCTGAGTGACAAGCTATACAGAATGTAAAATTTTCATTTTACAGATTTTTATTAGTACATGTTTGCAGTATATAATGATTGCATTCACTGTGGAGAACTGGTGCAAGCACATAGCACATCTCAGTTCTTTGTATTTTTCTCTTTTTCTCCTCCCTCCTCCCTCTATCTTACCACCATCAGGTCTACTTATCTATAAGTCCTTATAAAGTTAATTATCATACATAGAAATGAAATTTTCTATAAATATCACTGAATGCTCACTCCCTACAGGTCACTGGAAACTGGAAATTATGCTACTAATATGTTTGATTTTTTCTTAAAGCACAATGATGGCTTTCTCTTAGTAACCTTTGTTTTATGTGTATTATAAGAATTACTTACAATATAGCTTTATATATTAAAAAGTGGTCTTTTTAAAAAAAATAGACATTGTATGTGAAGTGACACACACCTAACTTGTGTCCTGCTATAGCATATAACATTAGTTACTAATTTCTTTCATTCATGTTTTATGGTTTGCCCTCTATATGATCTTTCTTTTTGTTTGCTTGTGGAGATTTATGTTCCTCTGATCATCTCTAAAATATTGATTGTAATAAATACATTGTTCTCTGTATTTTTCTCCCTGAATTTGCTAATTGTTTTAACTATCAAATGGATCAAAAATTTCTACTTTTGTCCTAGATGTCTTTGTTGAACTCCAAAACAATTTAGCTAACTCCTTGTTGGACCAATCCATGTATATATTACACAGCTATATTGTGTCATCAGCATTCCATCCATCCTTGACAAAATACCTGAAATAACCAACTTAGGAGGAAGGGTTATTTAGGTTTATAGCTTTAGGGGTTTCAGTACATAGCTGGTTGGTTCCATTGCTCTGGGCATGTGTTGGCACAGTACATCACGGTGGGGAACCTGCAGCAGAGAAGGTTTGATGGCCTCAGTGAGTCTGGTAAAGGGGGAGAGGAGAGGACTGAGGTTCCAATGACCCCTTCAAATGCATATGCCCAATAAACTAACTTCCTTCCCCTAGACCCACATCCTAAAGTGTTTTCCACCTCTCAGTAGCACCATAGGCTGGCAACCAAGCCTTCAGTACACAGACCTTTGGGAGACATCTAAGATCCAAACCCTAACATACATCAAACCCATCATGTTCAAAAGTATACTGTTTTTAACCCTTGCCTTTAGATATGCTTTTGCCTCTGTATGTGTCAGTGATGGTGAACTTTTAGGGAACCACTGCCCACCTGCAACCTCAGATCCACTTATTTATCCCAAAGTGCCAGCACTGCAATTAAACCTGAATACTGAGGACTTAGTTTAGAAAAAACAACTGTTATCTGATGCTAGGTTGCTGGGGCAACTTGGCTCACCCGCTGAGAGAAAGAGCTCTGCGTGCCAGCTGCAGCACGCATGCGGTAGGTTTGCTATCACTGGTACAAGTGAATGAAGTCACTAACACAGCCACATAAACCAGAAACCTGGGAGGCATCTTAGCTCTGCTTTCTCTGCATCACAACCTGAAAATCATTAAGTACTGATGAGTACATTTCCTCTTCACATTCCAAGTCCACTCCCTCCTACCTCCCCATGGTTGCCTCTTTAAGTAGCCATCACTTCAACACTTCTCTCCTTCAGACAGGGTCCATGTTCTGATAATTTACAGAACTAATTTTCTAAGGTCTTATAAGATAAATAAATAAATCTGATGCTAGTCAAATAAAAGGAGGAGAAGGGAGGGGTAGAAAATAACTGAAATGTATTATGTACGCACACTATTTCCCTACAATGAATGTAGTCATTATGTACTGGCAATATTTTAACTCTGCAGTTTAGTGTCAATAAGTTTATCTATCTGTATGTATCTTAGCCATTTCTGATCACTGTACTCAGCCTTGCAACTTTTCATATCTTTCCTCTAAAGGTTTTAGAAAAATTATTACTTATACCTCAATATTCTACCCCTGAAGATATACCTTATGTGAACTCTTGATCGTCTGTGATGCCAAAATCATTGACATAATTTCTTCCTTCCTTTTGTAATGGTGAGCTTGTGGTGCACACACTTACCCTACACTGCTCTGGTGAAGAAGCTAATGTGTTCTGATAAATTAATTTTGGGTGATTCTCTCTAAAATTTTGCCCAACCAGGAAACACACACAGATGTACACACACACACACACACACACACACACACACACACACACACACACACTCCTAATGTGCAACAGGAGAGACAATCAGAAAAGGTTTTAAAGAACCCTTTGCTTATGCTTTATTATACTGATGTAAGTAAAACCCTGCAGCTGGAAGCATCATAAATCAGAAGTCCCACTGACATGAGCACGTCATGGTAAGTGTGGGAATTATTCACACGTCACTGTCTGATCACCAGGGCTTCTACCTTGGCACCTCTTCAAGGCTGATTTGACGTTATTCCCATCTTCTTTTGCTTCCTATATTCTTGAACAAATTGAAAACTGCATGGAAAATCCTCTGGATTTTTCTCATCACAATATGGGAAGGTTATAGAAGTAATTTTGTTATCTACCAACACCTGTTAGAATTATCTAAAGAGGAGCGGATTTTCAAGTAATTATTTCATAAGGATGATGCTTTGCCGCTTTAAGATCTACTTAACCCACCTGGGCCTAGAACTGATCATCACGTGAATACTTGCGGAGCAGAGTTTGTGTTATGGTCTCAGGAGGATGTGTGTCCTTATTACTACAAGAATCCACTTATGTGACTCATCAGGGTATTCGGCAGCTCCTATGCTTCTAAACATTCATCCGTAGGTCCCAGAGAGAATGGAGACAGGATGACAAACAAGATTGGGTTCTCTTGGTGAATGTGGAATCTGAGCACTGTGTGTCCTTGTCCCCCAGGGATGTTCACAGGCAACGGGGGCAAGAGGTTCAGGGGAGATGCCCCCTCCATAAAAACGACATTGCCAGGGTTCCCATGAAGCAGGCCCTCTCCCCACATCAGCCTGCAGCAAGATAACAGTAAATGAGTCCTGCACCTGGGAAGTCCCCCTTTCAGAATGTGCCAAAGAGAGTGAGATCCTCATCCCTGACCTTCAAGTACTCACTTCAGTTTTTGCAGTTGCCTCTAAATCTAATCATATTTCTGAGGCAAGACCAGGGTTGGTACCACAGTAAATAAAGTATGTTTTGCAGACTGTGGCGGCATGGTGAAGCTCAGGTCTGAGGGGAGGAAGGGCTCCAGAAATCGGTGGAACCAGGGCCAGTACATGGGCGGGAAGTTTTCTCAATTTGTGACGGGGTTGGCATCTGCAGAGCTAGACCCACAAGCTGCCCATTGAGAGGGCCCTCGGATTATTGAATGCATACTTCTGGAGCCCTTATAGCCATGTGGCTGGTGTAATAGCTGCCAGAGGAAATGAGAAAAAAGTTGAAAGATTTGATTAAATGTAAGACATGCTCTTGGGATGTTGTTCCTTGTCCATCCTCTACCCGTTCAACAACTGTTCTGGGCACTGTCCAAGCTCTGTGGGTCGCCGTTCCAGAAAAACATCTACTTACAACTAGGAAAGCAGTGCTGCCAGGGGACGGGGTGGTGGGAGGGGTGACAATATTATCTGTAACTCTGTATAAATAATCATTGACCTTGACCATGTACCAGGAGCCACTTCTATGAGCGCCGGCCAAATCAGTGATGTCACTCTTTGCTTATGCCTATGAGAGAAACAGCCAGATTTTTGTGGGCAGCATTTAGAAATTTAAAAACTTAATGCTAGTTTCACTTGTTAGAGCCCTCATACCAGTCAGCACAAAGAGAAGCAGTCCTTCTTGAAAATGCATTTGAAACCTGATGGCTTCAATCCTTCACTTGTATACTCACTCTTTAACGATTTTCTTGGCACCTGTTATGTGTTATATACACTGGACAAGTGATGAAAAGAGAGAACAACCAAGTGATGAAGAGAAATCGAGATGAAAATAGGTAAACGAGGGGCTGGGGATTTAGCTCAGCGGCAAAAGCGCCTGCCTAGCAAGCGCAAGGTCGTAAGTTCGGTTCCCGGTACCGGAGAAAAAACAAAAAAAAAAAAAAAAAAGAAAATAGGTAAACGAGGTGAATTCAAGAGCAAAAACCAAAAACGCATGATGTAGGAATAGGATGCTTTCTCCAAACCAAAATAGCTGGTTATTCTGCAAAATGAATTTCTCGGTGGCTGTGATCATAATGGGAAAAAATGTGGGTCTTGAAATCAGGGATGAGTAAAATTCTGTAGCAGTGGAAGCAGTAAGTGACAACCTGTGCTCACTGATATGCAGTATCTGCCGTGAATTTTCTTTGTGTGTTACTGTGGATTAAAGGATTTGCTGTAATGATGCTGAGGAACACTGCTGGCTGATGCAACACACAGTGTACATCACACGCCTTATATTTGTGTTAAGCATCTAATTCAGATCTTCCCTGCTCCTCAGCACACATCTGGCTGTTGAAGTGGTTCCTGCTACAGCCGTCATCACAAAAGCACGATGGAAAATCAGACATGGGTCCTAGACTTCATTCTTCTGGGATTTCCACTCAGCCCAAGGATGCAGGGGCTCCTCTTTGGGCTCTTCTCCCTGTTCTACGCCTTTGCTGTAGTGGGGAATGGGCTCATCCTAGGACTCATCTGCTTGTGCTCTAGACTGCACACCCCCATGTACTTCTTCCTTGCACATTTGGCCATCGTTGACATTTCATATGCTTCCAACAACGTCCCAAAGATGCTGGGAAATCTTCTCAACAAGACAAAAACAATCTCCTTTGGCCCATGCATAACACAAACCTTTTTGTACATGGCTTTTGCTCACACTGAGTGTCTCATCCTGGTGATGATGCCCTATGATAGATATGTGGCCATCTGCCACCCTCTGCAATACTCTGTCATCATGAGCTGGATAGTATGCACCGTCCTGGCCATTGCTTCCTGGACTTGTGGCTCCCTCCTGGCCCTGGTACATGTGGTTCTCATCCTGAGGCTGCCCTTCTGTGGCCCTCATGAAATCAACCACTTCTTCTGTGAAATCCTGTCTGTCCTCAAACTGGCCTGTGCTGACACCAGGCTCAACCAAATAGTTATCTTTGCAGCTTCTGTGTTCATCTTAGTGGGGCCCCTGTGCCTGGTGCTGATCTCCTACACCCAAATCCTGATGGCCATCCTGAGGATCCAGTCAGGGGAGGGCCGCAGAAAGGCCTTCTCCACCTGCTCCTCCCACCTCTGCGTGGTGGGGCTCTTCTTTGGTAGCGCCATTGTCATGTACATGGCCCCCCAGTCCCGCCATCCTGAGGAGCAGCAGAAGATCCTGTCCCTGTTTTACAGCCTTTTCAACCCCATGCTGAACCCCCTGATCTACAGCCTGAGGAACTCAGAGGTGAAGGGTGCCCTGAGGAGGGCGCTGTGGAAATAAAGCTCAGTATAAAAGATGCCAGGCCCTCAAAGGTAGAAGATGTGTTCCCTGGGAGATCATGTGAATGAGAATGCAAATGTCTTAGAGTCTTATCTCTTGGGTTTCTGATGTTAAGAATGTATGTTGAGTAGATTCTGTCCCTAAACCTAGAGTAGAGACCAGACCCCAAAGCACAAGCAGAGAGTGCAGAGAGCTCAGGTCACAGACAGAGGTGTCAGGAGCCATGAGCCATGAACTATCCTTAGCAGTTCTAGGAAACATGTAAGTTTTGGGCTCCAATGGTTTGAACATAGTTTTGGGAAATTTCCTCTTAAATTCTTTATTTTAAGCTCCCTTATTGCCATAAGTATTTGATAATCATCCCATACTACATACTGCTCTATTGTACACCAATGACAGCAGAGAGCAGATAGTGACTTCCACGCAAGGAGCCTTCCCCAGATTGTAGTAAGGACTAGGAGTCCAGCCGGTGCCTGGTCCAGCACTTAGAACTGAGAAATCATCTGAATGAGCTTAACGAACCTCTGCTTGTGAAAAACAAAGTTTCATTTTATGGATTTTCCTCTTGTAATATGAAAGGCAGAGAAAGATCAGGATCTTCATTTTCTTTCATTTCATTATTTCATTTCATTTCATTCTGCACCATTTAGAAGAGGTTTGGAAACAACTTGTGTTTAGAATGAATATGACAGACAGCATTACTAAGGGAGGTTACCCTTTCCAGAACTCAGATCACAAAGCTGGGTGCAAGTGTCCCTTCATCATTGTTACAATTACATGAAAGAGTATAATAATAAGAGTGTGTTTCAAAGAAGAAAAACACCAAGGGAAAGAGGCAGCTTGAAAAAAAATTATGAACCATCACTTACATCAAAAATATTAGCGGTCCAATAAGGAATCTTAGGAACCTCAACAAAATTCCAAATTCCAAAGTGTTCCTATTTCCAATGATATAAGTCATTTTCTTTTCTGGACCTAAATTGTCAGAATGACACGGAAGAGTTTTGTTGTTTTTTTATTTAACATAATATTGGGATCTAGTTTATCAACCTCATATGATGAAATGATTCTCTTTTAATTAGTACAGTTTTGCAGAGTGTAATATTTACATTCCTTGTGTGGAGTCAGCACGTGTACACAACACATCTTAATTCCTTTTGTCATAGGAATTCAGGTATATAGAATATTAAGACTTAAGCTTTAGTTCTCTCATATAGCATTATCACTCCATTGTTGTTCTCCTCCCATAAAATAAAAAAAAACAAAGATAAAACTTTCCTTCCATATTCTCTCTTAACACATCTTGCTTTCAGTTCTCAGAAAGCCAAGTGGATAACCATTCTCCCCATTCTACCTGTCTGTTCATCCGGGGAAAGCATCTTGCCTCTGGACATTGCCTGAGTCCCCTTACCTCCACAGGTTTTCCAACCCACAAAATCTGGGGATTGCTGTATAATCCCCAGAGAGAGAAAAATTTTCATAAAGAAATAAATGCTGGTTCTAATTGTAGCTATCAAGCAATATGGAATTATTGTGTGCCTTATTCTAATGGTATAAAGTGGGGAAAAGGAAAGGATGATTATATATATATATTTATATATGCAACGTGTAGC